GGACTCTTTAAAGTAGAGACTCTACATGCTGATATACACACTGAACATCAGCAGGAGAGGACTCTTTAAAGTAGAGACACTACATACTGATATACATCTGAACATTCAGCAGGAGAGGACTCTTTAAAGTAGAGACACTACATACTGATATACACCTGAAATCAGCAGGAGAGGACTCTTTAAAGTAGAGACACTACATACTGATATACACCTGAACATCAGCAGGAGAGGACTCTTTCAAGTAGAGACACTACATACTGATATACACCAGAACATCAAGCAGGAGAGGACTCTTTAAAGTAGAGACACTACATACTGAATACACCTGAACATCAGCAGGAGAGGAACTCTTTAAAGTAGAGACACTACATACTGATATACACCTGAACATCAGCAGGAGAGGACTCTTTAAAGTATGAGACACTACATACTGATATACACCTGAAACATCAGCAGAGAGGACTCTTTAAAGTTAGAGACACTACATACTGATATACACCTGAACATCAGCAGGAGAGGACTCTTTAAAGTAGAGACACTACATACTGATATACACCTGAACATCAGCAGGAGAGGACTCTTTAAAGTAGAGACACTACATACTGATATACACCTGAACATCAGCAGGAGAGGACTCTTTAAAGTAGAAACCTACATACTGATATACACCTGAACATCAGCAGGAGAGGACTCTTTAAAGTAGAGACACTACATACTGATATACACCTGAACATCAGCAGGAGAGGACTCTTTAAAGTAGAGACACTACATACTGATATACACCTGAACATCAGCAGGAGAGGACTCTTTAAAGTAGAAACACTACATACTGATATACACCTGAACATCAGCAGGAGAGGACTCTTTAAAGTAGAGACCTACATACTGATATACACCTGAACATCAGCAGGGAGCTTAAGTAGGAAACTACATACCTGATATACACACCTGAACCTCAGCAGGAGAGACTCTTTAAAGTAGAGACACTACATACTGATATACACCTGGACATCAGCAGGAGAGGACTATTTAAAGTAGAGACACTACATACTGATATACACCTGAACATCAAGCAGGAGAGGACTCTTTAAAGTAGAGACACTACATACTGATAGACACCTGAACAATCAGCAGGAGAGGACTCTTTAAAGTAGAGACACTACATACTGATATACACCTGAACATCAGCAGGAGAGGACTCTTTAAAGTAGAGACACTAACATACTGATATACACCTGAACATCAAGCAGGAGAGGACTCTTTAAAGTAGAAGACACTACATACTGATATACACCTGAACATCATGCAGGAGAGGACTCTTTAAAGTAGAAACACTACATACTGATATACACCTGAACATCAGCAGGAGAGGACTCTTTAAAGTAGAGACACTACATACTGATATACACCTGAACATCAGCAGGAGAGGACTCTTTAAAGTAGAGACACTACATACTGATATACACCTGAACATCAGCAGGAGAGGACTCTTTAAAGTAGAGACACTACATACTGATATACACCTGAACATCAGCAGGAAGGACTCTTTAAAGTAGAGACACTACATACTGATATACACCTGAACATCAGCACGGAGAGGACTCTTTAAAAGTAGAGACACTACATACTGATATACACCTGAACATCAGCAGGAGAGGGCTCTTTTAAAGTAGAGACACTACATACTGATATACACCTGAACATCAGCAGGAGAGGACTCTTTAAAGTAGAGACACTACATACTGATATACACCTGAACATCAGCAGGAGAGGACTCTTTAAAGTAGAGTCACGACATACTGATATACACCTGGACATCAGCAGGAGAGGACTATTTAAAGTAGAGACACTACATACTGATATACACCTGGACATCAGCAGGAGAGGACTATTTAAAGTAGAGACACTACATACTGATATACACCTGAACATCAGCAGGAGAGGACTCTTTAAAGTAGAGACACTACATACTGATATACACCTGAACATCAGCAGGAGAGGACTCTTTAAAGTAGAGACACTACATACTGATATACCCCTGAACATCAGCAGGAGAGGACTCTTTAAAAGTAGAGACACTACATACTGATATACACCTGAACATCAGCAGGAGAGGACTCTTTAAAGTAGAGACACTAAATACTGATATACACCTGAACATCAGCAGGAGAGGACTCTTTAAAGTAGAGACACTAAATACTGATATACACCTGAACATGAGGAGAATAGGGCTCCTTTAAATCTGACTGTCAATCCATGAGCACACATCGTGGGAATATGTAAAGTAAAATGTGCGTCTTGATTGAATGAAAACACAAGTTCATTCCCACCAATGTATCTCCCAAATGTTAATTAATAATTAACTATATTTACATTTGACTGTAACTACCTCACCGTTGATTTGGGGAATCATATTAAAATCTGCCCTCAGTGCGTCTTGGGTTTGCTGATTTAAAAGCTTCAGTGGGTGTGTGAAAGAGATCTGCTAAATGAGAAGCAATCATGCAAACATATTTCTCTCTGTTGCATCGAGGCTTCCAGCGCTTATTAAACAAAAAGGTTTTCAACTTCCTGAAGATAAGAGTAATCACACCACATCCCCAAGTGTTAAAATGAATAATAATCAAAACAAATCTGAGAATGAGTGTTAACTTTAACAAGCAGGCCAAAGCCAGAAAACAATATTTAAAATAACACATTGCATTTGCTTTTGTAACCCTGGACAATTGGCACAAATTGGTCTCACACAACCGCATTCCATTTTATTCTTTTCATTTCTTTCTTGAAATATATATGTTTATACTGTTCATTTATTTATTTTCTTTAACTGTATTTTGTATATCATGTGCAAGGCCTCATCATCATGCTGCTGTGACAAAAGACGGCATTATTTTGGATGATTAAAGTATACCTAATCTACAGATGAATAATCGCATGATGGCCTGATAAACACAGCAGTAAACATCTCTCCAATTATAGATGTGTTTTTAATTTATATTTGAATACTTTAATTGTTGTGTCTGGGCCCATATTCATAATAGATAGATTATGAGGTGTCAAATTTCACATATCTCCATTATGTGTACTCGAAGTGGTTACCTGTTATAAATACCTAGGTACCTGGCTTGACGATTGCCTCTCTTTTAAACTTCAAGCTAGGTTTCTTTTTCAGAAACAAGTCCTGTTTCTCGCTTGAGGCCAGGAAAAGTCTGTGACCTTTTGACCTGTGCTGGACTATGGGGATCTGATTTATATGAATGCACCAACCTGATCAAGTTAGATGCCGCCTATCACAGTGCACTGAGATTTGTAACTAACTGTAAAGTATTAACTCATCACTGTACCCTGTATGCCAAGGCAGGTCTGCCTTCACTAACTGTACGGAGGCTCAGTCACTGGTACACGTTCATCTATAAAGCCATGTTGGGCAAACTACCATCTTATATCTGCTCTCTGATCTCACAGAGAGTTGCAGGCAGCTATTGCCTAAGATCTCAGGATGTGTTTTTGTTACATGTGCCAAGTGCTAGGACTGTTTTAGGTACTAAAGCTTTTATTAGACCCTCCAGAAAAACACGATTCTGCGATCGCAGAATTTACCGCACAATCAGCAAAATGGCGCAGATTTTTAAAAGGCCACATGTTTATCAAAAGGCCGCTTAATCCCCGCATTATTCCACACAAAGTTGAGGAAAAAAAAGTTAACTCGTCTTGACGTGAAGTGATGATGATGATGACGCAACGTCATCAGCTCGCGCATCACAGAAGGTAAACAACACCGTAGAGTGAACGTGTGGAACTCACACAAGAGAGAAAACACCAAGATGAAAAAATCGAATCCATCTCATTTCTGCTAAAGACCGGGCAAAGCAGTTCCCCGATGTCTTGCACGAAAGTGGGGGGAAACTATTCTGCACCCCGTGCAACTGTGTGTTGGAGCATAAGAGAACATCGACGGTGACGACCCACTTTGATTCATTCAAACATTCGAACATGCTTTCTGCTGCTGCGGACAAGAAAGCCAAACAACTCACGTTCACAGAGGCATCGACCTCCAAAACCCTTTCGAGGGCTACAAGAAACGAGGTGAGAAGCCTACAAGATTGAAGCTGGTCAGATAACGAGAGTTTGTGTGTGTGTGTGTGTGTGTGTGTGTGTGTGTGTGTGTGAGAGAGAGAGAGTGTGATTAAATTAGCCCAATTGCTTTTACAATAAATAAACATTGAATGTGTTTAATTGAATAGTAAAGGGGATTAACGTTAGTGGCAGGTTGTGTGTGAGAGAGAATAAATAAGACAGCCCAATATTTAAAAAAAAATATTTTGCATATTTCGCAACTTCCTGCAATTTCACCGCATAAAATCACATAAAAACCCCGCACGTTTAATCGCATAATCAAGGATTTTTGCCCGCGTTTTTCTGGAGGATTTATTTTATGTGCGCTGCTCCTCTAGCTTGGAACACTGCACCATTTTTTTTAAACTGAGCATTTTGGTTCCCCTGCATCATTTTAAAGCTCGGCTGGATGAAATGCTATTTGATACTCTTGATACCTGTCATTGTGAATAGGTTTGTAAACTGTACCCCTGTAATTATGTTGTATGACGTCCTTTTTGTTTTCAGTTGTTTTTCTGTTTTTCATGTGTAACCAACAGCTGCAGGTCTCCCTTGAAAAAGAGGTTGTTGATCTCAATGGGATTTCACCTGGTTAAATAAAGGCTACAAACAATGTCTTATGATTATACTTTAGCTTTTGTGAATAAGCTGAAAAGTGAATTGATATGACAAAAGCCTTCCCATAGAAATTGGGACACACACACACACACACACACACACACACACACACACACACACACACACACACACACACACACACACACACACACACACACACACCACACACACACACACACACACACACACACACACACACACACACAACACACACACACACACACACACCACACACACACACACACACACACCACACACACACTGACCTGGGAGGACATGCCGTGGCAGGGGTAGAGGATGGCTTTGTCGTCGTCCTCAGATCCCTGATCCAGACAGTAGCCGCTCGCTTTGCTGTTCCTCACCTGAGACACAACAGGGATTCATGAGTGAATAATTAAAGGAGAGGGCGGTCTCAGGGGACTCCACAGTGTGAACAGAATACAACACACTCTGTCCTTAGACCTTCGAAGCACACGAGGAAAAACTCACGAAGAAACCTCACGATCAATCAGGAAAACGTTTTAAACTTTCTTGAGAGAATCAGAGAAGGATCCCTCTCCAAGGACGGACAATATCCAATTATAACATAGACATTTTAAACGACAAAAATAATAACATGAACGCGTCTTAAAAACATGGGTGGACTGAGGATGGAAAACATATTTGACCATTGGTATAATAATTAAGGGTTGACTTCTAAAGTTTGATATTTTGGGGGAATATGATGAATTGTTTTGGCAAGCATACAACACTCTCTGTCCTTAGATCTTCGAAGCACACGATTAATTGGGAGAAACATTTTGAACTTTGTTGAGAGCATCAGAGAAGGATCCCTCTGCCAGGAAGGACAGACATGCAGTAGAAGTCATGTGTGCAGATTGAAAAGATAATCAAATTATAACAAAGACATTTTAAATGACACAAATAATAATATGAAGGTATCTTAAAAACAAGGATGGAAATATGATTGAGTGTGCGTCCAAAAAAGAGTGCAGGTGCATTGGTATTAGGGCTGAACGATATATCGTGTCATGCCGATAACCGCGATATGCACATGCGCGATATTCACATCGCAGGGACGTGGGATTTTTTTTTTTTTAGGACGTGCGATATTAAGTAGGTAAATGAACTCAAACACGTCATGTTACAATTATTTTGCTGCTTGCTACAAAAGGAAAACTTGGGCGGCTCTCATGTCAGGGGTACTTGAGTGAGTGACATGCAGGCTCTGCATGCACAGCAAACCACCAATCACAACCACTCTTGATCAGATCACAGCAGGCCCCGCCCCCGCTAGTTTGCAGACCATCAAAACACCGGTAAAAAATGAGCGAGGCACAGGAGGACAATACCGGGGAGAATGAAGATTTACTTCCAAAAAGAAAAGCAACATCTGCCATCTGGAACTATTTTGGATTCAGAAAGGTTCTTCTCTTCTTCATTCACAGATGAACCCCCTTAGTTGAGGGGAAGCAACATGCATTATCATGACATGTTGGATCATGACTTATGATGAGTCTACCAGTTAAGATCCAGACGTCCGTGACTAAAATCCTTCATCCGGTTAAATATAGTTAAAAAAAACGCAATATATATCGCAATGTCATTTTTTTTCAATATCGTGCAGCCCTAATTGGTATCATGATTAAGGGTTGATTTGTAAAGTTGGATATTTTGGGGGGATATGGTCACTTGTTCTGGCAAACATTAGATAAAGATTCAAACCCCTCTCCCATCGGCTCGTTAAATACGTTCAGCAAAATGTCTCCTGTGCATTTAGGTGTCGCTGTGCTGCGAGTAGAACGCAAGGGGAACCGGTTGTTTTTATGCTAATAATAGGATATCCATGTTGCCTTTTTTCCCTATTTTGCAAAACTTATAGTCAACATATTAACGTAGTGTTAGTGACACTTCAATGTGTGCATGTGATTGGAAAAGAGTCTTACTCATTGAGTCTAGTAGAGTGCCGAGCCGTTGTTAATTACAACTTTTTCCACTGTTCATGCAACACAGCCTCCCGTCCTGTTCACAGTCTTATTGTCTATAAGTGATGACCTGGCCATGACAAACGTCTTTGAGATTTTAGATAAGCGCTGTATACTGTAAGTGTCATGTATCATGCAGTGACTAAATCCCACTCCTCTCCCTCCAGGTCTGCAGACGGAGGACTGCTCTGAGCATGAGCTCCGTACATCTTCATTCCCAGGGTGTGACATATCTATCATGTGCTGATGTCGGGAGGTTTCCACTCGGCTGCTCCGGTCAGCATGGCCGAGTTTTGCTGAAGCTCGGAGACAGATGGGACTCACTTCTGCTGCTGCGGCGGCCATGTGGCGAAACACGAGGCTCGTCGACAGATTTGAAATAGTGCCACTTAAGAAGCTGCCACTCTGAGAAATTCATTTCCTGGGTGCTAGAGCCAAAACAGGCAGCAGGGGAAACAAAGAGAGGGGGGTTGAACATTCACACTGATGAATCTAGAGGTTAATTGAATGGATTCTGACATTGCAGTTGCAGAGCGTATTGATTTGCGTCTGTTTTCCATTTTAAAAATTGATGAAAAACTGTGAATTTCAGTAAACACTCTGGAGTGTGTTCAATTCTTCCACCTGTCACAATCCTGTTTCCCCCCTCTGTGCTGCGTGTGCCGCCGAGCCCCTAACAATCAGGTTGGAATGGAAAACTAATAAGTGTTTAATTAAAACTCATTCTGAGGAAATTGCATGTAATCCCGAGTCGTGATGCTGCGTCGCTCCAGCAAGGAGACACCTTCACCTCAGAGTGGAAACAGTGAGTCATGTTATGAGCTCTCATCTGTTTATCTGCACATCTCAGTTTGCGTTTGACCACAGTTTAGTTCAAACCAGAGGTGGAAGAAGTACTCAGACCTTTCACCTGTGTAAAAGTAGTAATACCTATTGAAGCTGACCCATGCAAACAAGCTATCACTACGCAGAACATTTTCCATTTCCATCTTCACCAACCTAACAACACATGCACAGCCTTGACTAAAAGCTTAACGGCCCGTCCACACAGCGGCGTGCGTTGAAGCTTGCCGGCGGGCGTGTCTGACACTCGACCAACAACCAATCACATGAATCTCCCGCCCCAGACACACAAGCACGCGGTTTGATTGGCTAGAGCTTGTACTGGCATATGATTCGATTGGCTGACGCTTCCGTCGAGGCGTCAAAAGTTGAACATTGCTCAACTTTTGAAGCGAGCAACGCCAGCAACGCCAGCAACGCTCCACGTCGCTTCCCAAAATACAGTTCGGCTAAAAGTGACGTCACCCCATTCAAAGTGAATGGGCAGAAGCGTTAGAAGCTTCAACGCACGCCGCTGTGTGGACGGGCCGTAACACTAAACGCTGCAAGATGCTCAAAACACAACGGAAACCAGGGGACACTAAAAAGCGACGCACACACCTGGGACATGAACTCTTAATGATGTTGGGGGGATTTCAAAGTTAGCCAACCTGTCACTGTCGCTGGAAACTTGCCTAAACGTTTACTTTAACAATGTGATCACATGACGCCTTCCATTACTATTGCAGATCTGCTGTGAACTAGCAAGCTCACGTAGCTAATCTACAATAATACATTTTATTTCTATAGCACTTTTCTTGAACCCAAAGACGCTTTACTTTTGGGAGGGAGGGTAGACAAAACAAAAACAAAGCCAAAAAGAAACAAAGAAACAAAACAGAAAAGCAGTCAGGAGGAAGTTGGTTGAGAGGGGGGGGGGGGCTTATGGATACAGAGTTGAAGAGGTGGGTTTTGAGGCGGGACTGGAACAGGGTGAGGGATTCAGACTCCCGGAGGTCTTGGGGGAGGGAGGTCCAGAGCTTCGGGGCTGCCACAGAGAAGGCTCTGTCCCCGAAGGTCCGGAGTTTGGCCTTGGGGGTGGAAAGCAAACCGGCTGAGGTGGATCTGAGGGACCGGGGGGGTCAGTAGAGGATGAGGAGGTCAGTGAGGTAGGGGGGGGGGGCCAGATGGTGGAGGGCTTTGAAAGTGAGGACCAGGAGTTTGTAGTGGATGCGGTGTGAAACGGGGAGCCAGTGGAGTTCTTTGAGGACCGGGGTGATGTGATGCATGATTTGGTGTGAGTGAGGAGTCTGGCGGCTGCGTTCTGGACACGCTGGAGAACAATGACCTTTCCAGACTGCCATGGACACTTCGTTAATTCATAACAGAACATCATAATTGAATAGTTGATTCATATTTTGTATTAATGATATAAACCTGAAAAGGAAGTAGTACCTTATATTGCTGAATATTGTCACATATAGGTAGTGTAGTAAAACATGATTTGCCTCCAAAATGAAGGAAGTAGAAATTAGCATAAAGTACTTCCAAATTTTACATTAGTACAATACTTGAGTAGATATAGTTACGTTCCAACAATGCAAACAGATATCAACTCGGTGCCAACATTCGTGTTTCAGGGCATTTTTTCTCGGAAAGACCAAAGAAATCCTGGAACTGCAACGCTGAACAATTCCTCACTGATTCTCCTCTTTAAACCACATCCTCTGTGATAGATTTAAGATAACATAAGATGTACTTTATTGATCCCAATTTGGGAAATGTTGGCGTTGCAGCAAATAGAAATGAAAAGAGTAGAAATAAACAACACATGATGATGATGATAAAGCCAAACTAACATGCAGAAAATGTCCAATAAGCGTCTCACCTCTCCGTATGTGATGGTGTTGTTGTAGATCCGCAATCTCGGGGTAGACGTGTTCGAGGTACCAGCGGAAACTCCGACACTGGAAGCCTCTTCCTCAGGGCCACGCGCTCTGAACATCTCCGAAATCCACCCCGGGGTTCTGTCAACAACACAGAGGCGGAACAAAGCTCTCACAAGCCGGCGGGCACTCCTACTTAAAGGGGACCTATTATGCAAAATCCACTGCTCCATGTCTCTTTCTATATCAACATGTGTCCCCTTCTTCTTCATTGTCCCTCCCTCTTCTACATCAAACATGGGTCCCCTCTTCTTCATGTCTCTTCTACATCAACATTGTGTCCCTCTTCTTCATGTCTCTTCTACATCAACATGTGTCCCCTCTTCTTCATGTCTCTTCTACATCAACATGTGTCCCCTCTTCTTCATGTCTCTTCTACATCAACATGTGTCCCCTCTTCTTCATGTCTCTTCTACATCAACATGTGTCCCCTCTTCTTCATGTCTCTTCTACCTCAACATGTGTCCCATCTTCTTCATGTCTCTTCTACATCAACATGTGTCCCCCTCTTCTTCATGTCTCTTCTACATCAACATGTGTCCCCTCTTCTTCATGTCTCTTCTACATCAACATGTGTTCCATCTCTTCATGTCTCTTCTACATCAACATGTGTTCCCCCTCTTCTTCATGTCTCTTCTACATCAACATGTGTCCCCTCTTCTTCATGTCTCTTCTACATCAACATGTGTCCCCTCTTCTTCATGTCTCTTCTACATCAACATGTGTCCCCCTCTTTCTTCATGTCTCTTCTACAATCAACATGTGTCCCCTCTGTGGAAAGAGGACTCTGAAAGTTCAGGAACAAAGATTCTCTCTTTTTTGATCCATTTCTATAAAAACCTGTCTGAAATGAGCTGATCAGATTTTGGCCACTTTATGATGTCATAACGATGTGTTGTCTTGTGTAACCATTAGCCAATCAGCAACCATGGTACCCCCCCCCCCCCCCCCCCCCGCCGCTTATCACCTGAATCTCCTCCTAGAGCTCCATTGAGTTCTTTGTAACCAAATGTCTCTCAGAGGGGCGTGGGGAGGGGCTCCTTATTTTCATCTAAAGTAACAGCCAGAGAATCAGCACTTTGGAAACAGGGCTGAAACAGAGGGGATTATGGGTAATGCTGCAATGATCTGTTTGGTGTTTCAGCCAATCAGATACATGTTCTCTATATATCTGAGACCTGTAATATATTGATGAGAAACAGTATAATAGGGGACCTTTAAGAGAGAGTACAAGCTCCTGGAGAACAGGGAGGTGCAGCAGTGAGGAGGTGCTGAGAGGACGCAGCATCAGTTAGCGAGAGACGGATAGATGTGCCTGTCATGTGGGACCTTTATTGTTCTTTCATTATACGTGATCTGCGCTGAGCAAATTCTAATCAGCTGCTTAATTATGAGCCCTCACGGCCCGGCTGACGCATGGAGGTGGCTTCCAGATTGATTAGGGGAATGCCTAATAGCTGCAGAGGCATGATCCTGATGCGCGCACACACACACACTATGGCCAGGCTGATTGGTCCAAATTAACCAATCCACAGACTTCCACAGACTTCCACACACACACACACACACACACACACACACACACACACACACACACACACACACACACACACACACACACACACACACACACACACACACACACAACACCACACACACCCACACACACACACACACACACACACACTCTGCAGGAGTCTATACAACCAGCTGCTGAACTTGCTTTCAACATCTGTTAATAATGGGTTGAAAAAGTCTAATTTTATTTTTCGCACACCATAAAGTGACACTAACAAATGCATTCAATCTCACTGAGATGTTGTTTGGTATTTGGAAATGGCGCTGCACACTGTGGTGAATCATAAAGCCTTCCCCCACTGAAGTAATTGTGCTCTCAGCGGGAACCTCAGACAATAACAAGAATCTGTGATTGTGTGTATGGGCGTGTGTGGGGGAGGCAGAGATGGAGGGGGGTAGATCGAATAATTGTAACGTTGGGTCTTTGTACTGTACACAAAATAACTCTGCGCCACAGGACAGCTGGGGTAATAATGTGCCATGCCACTGTGTTTGTAATTACACTGGAGAAAGGCAGCAGTCTGATTGACTAGTTTGTCAAAGTTCCCCCTCCTCCTTTCCTTGCACCCCCTCCTCAACATATCCTCCATTCTGCACTCACACATCAGCTTCAACACTTCTGCTGCTGGTGCTTCCTACCTGCATTTTGTGAGTACTTATGTAGTGATGTTTGCGCCATTTTTTTTATCTAGACGACATGCAGGCATCAGACGTGTGCTTAGCCTCTTAAAGAAAGAAGCAGTGATCACATATTCTGTAGGCCGACCCTGAAGTTACCATCGCAATCGCTCCCCGACAAAAAGCTAATGGGTTTTATCCATTGGACTTCTAAATATAAGATAAGATAAGATATACTTTATTGATCGCAAACTGGGAATTTCTTTCAACAAATAAGGTCTGTGGCAAACGGCTCAATAATACCTACATGTTTTTTCTCAGCCGGATAATCTCCGCTTATTAAGATGACTTGTTGATTATTGAAGTCTAAATGCAATTGTTAGAAGTAAAAAGCTAACGTTAGGCTATAAAGGAACTACAGCACGGTCACATGACTTCACGTCACCACCGCTAAGCTAAAGGTGGCTAATGTTGGGCTATAAAGGAACTACAGCACGGTCACATGACTTCAGGTCACCACCGCTAAGCTAAGGCGGCTAATGTTGGGCTATAAAGGAACTACAGCACGGTCACATGACTTCACGTCACCACCGCTAAGCTAAAGGTGGCTAATGTTGGGCTATAAAGGAACTACAGCACAGTCACATGACTTCACGTCACCACCGCTAAGCTAAAGGCGGCTAACGTTAGGCTATAAAGGAACTACAGCACGGTCACATGACTTCACGTCACCACCGCTAAGCTAAAGGTGGCTAATGTTTGGCTATAAAGGAACTACAGCACGGTCACATGACTTCACGTCACCACCGCTAAGCTAAAGGTGGCTAATGTTGGGCTATAAAGGAACTACAGCACGGTCACATGACTTCACGTCACCACCGCTAAGCTAAAGGAGGCTAATGTTAGGCTATAAAGGAACTACAGCACGGTCACATGACTTCACGTCACCACCGCTAAGCTAAAGGTGGCTAATGTTGGGCGTGATGACGTTTAGTTGTCTCATTTAGACACTTTTGGGGTATTTACTGATGTACTTTAGGTCATAGACATGTTTTGTAAGCAGACCTTATTTCAGGCTCTTAACCAAACACATAAAAATGCCTATTGACTTCAAGACGAGGGAACAGGAAACTGACGAGTGGGGTTGACCTTATTTTAGGTATCTAACCAAAATACATTTTAACCACTGCCTACTTCGAGAACAAGGGACCCAAAGTGGTAAAATGCTCAATTCCGAGTTATACGACTAATTCCCTGCACCACTTTTAAACCTGTACCCCAAAGCCATTGATACGTGTACCTGTTTCCACACATGTTCAGGTTTTCTGAATGTAAATCAAGAGAGATCAAGTGGAAAAATGACTCCTCTCCTGGTTTGAGGACTCAATCCTGCACTACTCATACAGTTTCATATCAAGTGTTGTTTGGGCAGTATTCAGAGGCCTTCACTGACAATCATCTCATTATGCATGGCTCGAGGCAATTAGGATTCAAAATTAAACTCTTTATTAGTAAAAGCAGCTGTTTATTATGTCTCAAAGACGCTTGAAAGCAATTAAACCAAAGTGATGTGTATGAAAATAGATTGATTAGACATGAGGCTCATCTCGTTCACTTGGTTTGGAGAGCGACTCCTCTGCTCGGCTGCCAGTGTGAAGGTCAAATGGGATGAAATGTGAATTTTGAAATTCTATCGACTCGTGTCTCCGGAGACCCTGGCTGCGTGTTTGAATGAGCAATGAAGGAGGGAAGGGTCTCAAATAACCAGAGGGGGGAAGTAGTGGAGTACAAATACTTCAATACTGTACTCAAGTAAATGTTTCTGGTATCAGTACTTTACTTCCCTACTTATTTTTCTGACGACTTTCTACTTCTTACATTTTGAACACAAATACCTGTACTTTCTACTTCTTACATTTGAACACAAATACCTGTACTTTCTACTTCTTACATTTTGAACACAAATACCTGTACTTTCTACTTCTTACATGTTGAACCCAAATACCTGTACTTTCTACTTCTTACATTTTGAACACAAATACCTGTACTTTCTACTTCTTACATGTTGAACTCACATTTTCCAAACAGCTGGTTCCTTTAGTCTGAATGTGTGTTTGATGCGTGATCATTATTCTTTAGAGTCATTGCGTGCCTATTGATTTGAACACGATCCGTGTATCCATCATTTCCTGGTCTTCTCTAAAGAAGAGGGACCAATGGAAACGTTGTCATGTTGCCGTTGTTCAGCATGGAAACATTCATTAGCTAACAATGACATTATTGTTCTATTAATATAAAGGGAGGTCAGGTACTCTTTAAAACAGCTGCTAGTTATGGGTACTTTTTACTGAAGTACATTTAAAAGCCTCTTTACTTTTACTTGAGTAAAGAAGTTTAGTCAGTACTTCTACTTTTAGTATTTTTAACACGAGTATCTGTACTTCTTCTTGAGTAAAGGATGTGTGTACTTTTGCCTTCTCTGCAAATAACTTACGTTCATGGGGATGTTCCAGGCCATGTAGACGTGCGATTTGTATTCATCCATCCACACCTCGGCGGCCCGCAGTGCGTTGCGCTTGGCGTAGTAATCTATGTCGTTGTTGTAGGGCTTCTTGGTTCGCTCGATGTGAGCCACTCTGGCGCAAGGAAGGACCTCCATACTGCCTCCACACTGCCACACCTACAGGAACAGAGAGAGTCCATTAAATGTGGATTCACACAGAAATGTCGCACTTTACTGCTATTTGGAAGATGGTCTGGAGATATTGAGACTTTTTTTGCATCCATAAACATATTTTTGCAACGTGCAAATTATTTATCTATATATCATATTCCATTTACTTGTATATAGACTCTTCTTGCACTATTCATATTTACTTGCATATCTCAAAACATTCTCTTGCACAATTTGATAGGTTTTATCTGTTATATTTGTTGCCATGATGTGCATTTTAAAAGTGCAGTACAAACAAAAACTACAAGCAACACAGGGATTGAAAGATATTTATGATTTATTACAATTTGGGTTTTTACTGTCATAGCTTTGGCTTAAGTCACAATAACATTGTTCCTACAGAGTGAGATGCTGGACTATAGCATCAGTGCTACAACAAATGTGATTGGGACTAGAAAGGGCTGTCAAAAAGTCTGATGATAAAAAGCTAGATGATTATAAGAACGTACGTAGTTTAAGGTCAAAACAACATAGTGTGTAAAGCCACCAATAACTGAAGGTCAAGGGTGACTGATCAGCAAACAGTGATGGATGTTTGCAACACTTTTAGCAACATCAACACATTTTAAGATCTCAGCGATCTTTGAGTGTGATCAAGTTTTATGTTTAAAGGTCATCAGTTAAACCTGGAAATGAAGGGATTGGTTTCACAAGAAGCTTAACATGTATAGGTGAACTTTCCTTCAGCTGTACACTCTCCCATTAAACGCATCTACCTACGTTTAGACAATTTCATTAAATACATGTTTGACCATCAAGTTCCACCCATTTTCAACACTGCAAAGATACGATACGATATACTTTATTCAATCAATCAATCAATCAATCAATCAATCAATCAATCAATCAATGTTTATTTATATAGCCCAATATCACAAATGTTACATTTGTCTCAGTGGACTTTACAATTTGTACAAAATATCAGTATGACAATACGACACCCTCTGTCCTTAGACCCTCACATCGTACAAGGAAAAACTTCCGAAGAAAACCCACAGTTTAAAGGGATACTTTATTGTCCCCGTAAGTGTCTCAGTGACACCACAAATCCCATTTAAGCTGTCTGAGTTAATGTCCAGCTTTGCTAGTCGCAGACTACCAACAATCCTCCTAAACCACAGAGTGTGCCAATCCAGAACAGATACGCTCCACTGACACAGAACCGGAGATCTCTTTCTGATGACCTGGATAACCTGTTCTCTTCACACAGCAGGGTAAGGACCAATAGCTACTCCAAAAGTAAAAGGCTAGAGGGAAAGCTAACGACTGGGCCTGAAACTCTGATTGTGGGTGACTCTGCTGTAAGAGATGTAAAAAGTCTATGTAATAAGAACAACACCGACGTTTTCCCAAGGATGTGGTCTCTGACTTGGCTGAGAAGATCCTGCATATTGGGGCTGAACATCCGACTGTGAAAAATGTGGTACTACATATTGGAACAAATGATGTTGTGAAACAACAGTCAGAAGTGCTGAAAGAAGACTTTAAATGTTTGTTGGAAACTGCCAGCTCTCTAAATGCAGAGGTGTTCATCAGTGGCCCTCTACCGCCAGTCAGAAGAGGAGTGGAGAGATTCAGCAGATTGTTTGCACTGAACACCTGGCTTTCAACGGCCTGTACTGACCATTCTGTTCATTTTATTGACAACTTTAACTTTTTCTGGGATCGCAGACATATTTTTAAGGCAGATGGAGTTTGCCTGAACAAGTCAGGAGTGAAATTGTTTATCTCTAACATATTCAACTGCCTGCGTCATCAATCTGTTCCCTCTGCCAAGGACAAGCGAGAAGAGGAATCAAAACAGGAAAAAGACACAACACATCGCGCAGAAAACCTTGAAGAAGTATCACTGAACCCGCCTGAGGAATGTTCTGATTATGGGAGACCTATGAGACAAATGGAGGAGTCTCCACCGCCCTTCACCCCCCCTACTAACACCTTTGAGGATACTCTTCCTTCATCCCCCAGCGCTCTCTTCTCTCCGTTCACCCTTTCACACTCACCCCCCCTCCTGGAGTTCACTGAAAACATGAAGGCGATACACAGCGTTAGCAGCATGTCCTTGACCCCTGTCCCTCAACGACACCCACCAGAATCACCGAAGCAGAGACGCGCACCATCTCCCCCGTCTTCATCACCATGCCTACCACAATCATCCGGACCAAAACATCCTCCCCCCCTTCAAGGCAGCATCTGCGGTCTCCGAAGCCTGATAAGGATGTATCTGTACAAAACGCAGCAAACTCTTACTGATATGTGCTGGGTCCAGGCTCAAGGGCATATGGCACTCTCAACTCTTTCAAGGACATGCCGGGGCCCTGCCTGCCAGTAGCTTTGCAGATACCTGTGTTGATAGGTAATAGATTAAGAGCGGTGAATCAGCTTAGACACAGGAAGCACTCAAAAGTTTGTGTGAGTTTATCTAATTTAGCAGTGATTCCATGTCAGCCACAGCTCGTCACAAAAACCTGACTGATAGTGTGTTTAACAAACTTAAACTAGCTTTATTAAATGTCAGGTCTATGGCAGGAAAAACATTTTTAATCAATGATTTTATCACTGAGCACAATCTCGATTTTATGTTTTTAGCGGAAACTTGGATTGAACAAAATAACAGTGCAGCTGTTCTTATCGAATCAACCCCTCCCAACTTTAGTTTTATGAGTCAGGAAAGAATGCATAAGAGAGGAGGTGGAGTTGCTATTCTGTTCAATGATTCCCTTCAATGCAGAAAGACATGTTATGGGAACTTTGCTTCTTTTGAATATGTGGCCCTTCGGCTGAAATGCTCCTCTCGAGCTCTGTTCCTAAATATCTATAGACCACCCAAATACTGTGCAAGCTTTTTTGATGACTTTACTGAACTGCTGTCTATAGTGTGTATTGACTTTGACCGTCTAGTCATTGTTGGTGATTTTAACATCCATGTTGACAACCCCCAGGACAGAGGGGCTAAAGAACTGTTTTGTGTTCTTGATAGCTATGGACTGACTCAGCATGTGACGGAGCCCACGCACAATAAGGGGCACACTCTGGACTTAATTATCTCAAAGGGTCTGAATATCTCTGAGGTTGTGGTGACTGATGTTGCACTCAGCTGCACTTCAGTGTGTATCGTCTTTATGTTTAATTTATTATCTTTGCTTTTTAATGACTGTTTTTAATTGCCATTTTCTGATGGTCTTTCATTTTTGTAAAGCACTTTGAATTGCCTTGTGTTGAAAGGTGCTATATAAATAAAATTGCCTTGCCTAAAAGTAGGATTTGGTGGACTGGAAGAAATCATCTGCTTCTGAACCTTTGATCGGAAAACAGGAAAGGTAAGAAGTATTTGCCGTTTTGGCTCCGTAAAGTGAAGTTGTGTGTTGTCTTTGCTGGCTTTCGCTGCCGCGAGTTTTGTTTGCACAGTGATGATATTTATACCATTGGAATCTATGTAATCTCAGCTTTCATATGATATCTAGCATCATCTATAATAATATATTTAATTTATATAGCGCTTCTCATCTGCCAAGACAAATCTCGAAGTGCTTCACAACAAAGGATACTAATACACTTTGATAGATTAAACAAATAATTGTAATAATAATAATAAATCAAAAAATAAAATATAAAATATAAAATAAAGTACAAAAATAAAAGTCGGAGATAGCGATAAAAATGGCAATACTCCAGGTGTACCATGCTCAAAGTTTATTGGAAGGCCTGCCGAAAGAAGAGGGTCTTAAGGCCGGTTTTGAAGACCTCGGTGGAAGGGGCAGATCTTAGCTGATCTGGGAGGGAGTTCCAGAGGCGCGGGGCGAGTGAGCAGAAGGCTCGGTCTCCCATTGTTTCGGAGACGTGTGCGGGGGATGTAAAGAAGAGGAGCGTGGCTGGAGCGGAGAGAGCGGGTAGATGTCTGGGTATGGATGAGGTCCGTGAGTTATGTGCTAAGTGCGTACAAGTGCTAATTCAAAGGTTAGACTTGTGTTTTATTTCGGTAAAAATGGTTCATATCGTCAGGTAGCTGAGTTTCTTCCCGTTAAGTGGGTATGACACATAGTTTGTTAAATGTGAAGAAGCCCTCAGACGCTGTTACTTGCAAGATGTTGCGGGGGAACCCGGGCATAACAGGTTAACAACTAGTCTTCACTTTCACCTTTTTCCCATGAGTGTTTACTGTATTGCCATAGATGACATTTTCTTGTTTCCTGATCTTTTTTCTGCACTGATTTTAAACTATTACATGTCATTTTGATGATTCCCATTGAGTGACTTGTGTTGGAAATGAGTTTTAACTGTATGAACATTATCAGTCCATCACACATAGCTCCCATGACCGTCAATGTTTCTCTACTTGACTTTAGAAAATAAATATATAAAACAAAGGTCGAACATGCATCTTTAACACTGTGCCAGTTCTACCACGTTCATGACAGGATCCTCTGTACTCATGCAGCTCACTGATTAACATATGAGATGTATGCATGGACACACAGACATCCGCTATTAAAGGTTCCAGCGCTCAGAAATGCCAAGCCAAATGCTCCAAACACACACACCATCCAACACACTGAAATGTCAGGAGAGAGCTGATTTCTCTTTCAAAAAGATGACAAAACGTGGACTTGGGTAAAGGCTTGATTGTATCTCCTTTCCATGAACGCTGCACACTTAAGACTTTCCAAATTAGAAGATGTAAGGAGCTGAATGTTATTTAATTTACTTTAAAAAAGTTGAAGACCTTCATGTTATTTTGTTTTCTGTCTAACTATTCAATACGTTATAAATAAAACACTGAACACAGAGTGGTTACCAAGGTTAGAGTAAGATACAAATTAGAAGTGACCTAAAAGTTAGTTTCTGAATAACTCTGAATCAAGGACACAGTTTCCCTGGTGATATGTTCCTTCATCGCCATGAATATTAGTTTATTTTGGGACTGCACACAATCTGCCAACT